TATCTAATATTTAAATCAGATCCATCATGTTAAAATCCCAAAAGATTTAAATAACAATTTCTTATACCCCATCCAGAAGGAAAATTGACAACTTAACTTGATCCATCAGGTTTTATGTTTGTTATAGTTGGGCCAATTAAAAAAATATCAGATCTACTCAATAATATTTGATATCCAATTTGCTTAAGGTTTTCTATATAAAAACTTATAGTTACAGTCTCAGATGTTAATATTAATCCCTAAATTATATATATTGTATACTGTTAAATTATTAAATTAAGGACCTAGAGCGTAATAGCTTACAAAATTAGAGATTGCCACATTAATTTTACAATCCTTTTAGTAAGTATGAATGTATGAAGATTTTGGATTTGTTATATTCAAATTATTTATAACTTAGACCCTTTCATCATTAAATGCAAACCAGTTAAATTCAACTCGATAAAATCGTTCTGGACTCTCACAAACTATTTTGACTTTAAATCCTATAAAATAAATTAAGATATCACCGACGGTGCTGACACTAACTATATTTAATAAATATCCTTAAGGAAATGTATATTCCAGATCAAGTCTAGCAATATTTAAGTACACATCTGGGACTTAAGTGAATTCCTAATGAAAAGGAATAAAATAGTCTTCCTCTCTAAATGGGGTTTGACTCAAAAATTAAATTAAATTTGCATTTTCTTTGTAACTGAAGTGATTCACAAACCCATATTCAAACCTATGATTAGCCATCACAATAAAAACATAATAAAAGATATACAACATAAAAAAAATAAATTATGATAAATTAAAAGAAAAATATGTTTATAAATTTATGTTTTTAAAGCTCAGGTATTAACTAAAAGATTTTAATCTTTTCAATGTAAAGAATCACTTAATGAATTAAAATTTAAATTATAAATATCATTTTTGGATTTTCTAAAAATATATAAAAACATTCCTTTGATTCTTAAAAGGATTATTAAAGCATTCATATTTTTCAATTTATTCTCATATATTATAAGTAGTAAATAATAATTTTATTAATAATTTAATTGTTATTAATTTGTTGAATTAATATAATATATTCTTATTATTAAACAAAAAGAAGCATAGCTGTCAATTTTATATTGGTTTTGATGGTTGACGAGTTTATTTAATGAATTTACATCCAAACCCATCTATCACTTCATTCCACTTACCAATCTTAATTCTTTCTTCATTATATGACCCATTACTTTAAATATTTAATATCAAATCTACTTTGATGTATCTATCCCATTTATTAGCATTTTACCATTTTTATATTCACCCTGATGATTTACTTACAAGAATTGAATAAATAAATCATTTAACTCTCTCTATCTTATCACCTTTACCTACTTTATCATATGATCCGCCACCTCTATAAATGTTACTTTAAGCAACACCTACCTTGATTGATTAATTGACGTATCATAAATAAAAATATCCCACATAAGTGACCTCCTATCTCCACTAAATATCATCACTTGATTCATTTCGCTTCCCAACTTTATTACCATTACTTGTTTCATCATATAGCCGAAAGCACTAAAAAATTATCAGATTAATGTATATTTCAATTAAAAATGTTCCTTTCCTTCTTCTCTATATGAAATATCCCAAAAAGAATTTTTTTTTCCATATCTATATTCACTTATAAAAAAATTATGGAAATTATTCAAATCAATGATCGGCTTCTATCCTTTTTCCATGTTTTCACCTTATTAATTATATAATCCACTACCACTTTTAATAACATATTGTAATAAACATTTTTTCATTCTCATCAGAGCACTTCAAATTTCCTTGCCTTTTATCGTTAAAATATTCTTTAATTTCATATATGTAAACTTTTCTTTGCTTTTCCATGTTACTATCCGTTTAATTGAATTTTAGATATTTAATAACAAATAAATAAAGTATGAATTTGATGATTTTCTGAATAATTAAAAAGTATATAGATTTAAGTTCAAAGCATTTGTTAAATTAATTGGATTTTACACTTTTATTGACATAATCTGTATGATTCAGATAAATCCATCAAGCTTTTTTTTTATTTTTAATTAAGAAACATGATTTTATATTGTAATATATATCTAAGGTTTTGTAATGAAAAAAGGATTATTTGAAAAGTAGATATTCTTTATTGGAAAATTATAAATATATATTATTATTATGATCTGATTTCAACTTTTAGTCAATTTGAAAATAATTAAAATGTAGATAAGAATCTGAAATGTCAAAAAAAATGAAAATAGATGGAAAAATTAAAGCGACATATGAAGGTGTACAATATTCTGGCAATAATTATTAATTTAAAATATGAGGATTAACTGTAATTCTTGAAAATAAATTAGTTTAATATACAAAATTAGCTTAAAAAATTATTCTTTTAGAGTATCTTTCTTTAAACAAAAAAAATTATTTTTAGATACTTATTCTCATTCAATTATTCTTTATATATATATATTCAAATATTAAATAATTTTATTTCATATGGATTAAAAATTGCCAAACCAATAAATGGAATCAAAATTGAAAGTAGATAATTGCAAAAATGATTTTGAAATCTAAGTAGATAGCTATTTATTTTTCAAATCCTTCAATCAAAATGATATCAATTCACTTTAAAAATTTAGAAACCCTCTAAGTCACCTATGTAAAACTATCTTTTATTTTAGCTTTAACAATCGATCTCGAAATTCCATACTAGAAAGGTTTTAAGTAAGATTTAAATTTTGAAGTTTAGACTTAGAATGTGGAATCTATCAAGTAACTATTAAAATAATATCATAGAGTTCAAAAAACGGAATAAAAGGATTTTGATAATGAATAAAAAGAAGAGACCTAAGTGATAACAGGTTGGTTATGGGATAGTGTAGAATGTAGATTTATCCCATCCATTTACTAAATCAAATTAACTCTAGATAACAAAATTGTTTACACAAAAGATGGTGAAACCTTAAGAATGTAACACTTTATTATCTTTTAATTTTAATAGTGACGAAATAAAAGACGCTTCAGTTAAACCAGAAGTCTTGGCAAACTTAGAATAAATTTGCCATCTTAAATGGTATGGCAAATACAGTTAGAAGGGGTAAAAGATTGGAAGATGGTCAATAAAGTGGAAGGGAGAAGATTTGAAAGAAGTAAATGGCTATTATACTGAAAATGGAAAAAAATAAGGCAAATGGAAAGATCTTATTAATAATTTTTGGACCCAGGGTATTCTTTATTAATTAAGAGTGAAGCCGAAGCTTATGAAATAGGCGAATATGTGAATGGTAAAAGGAAAGGATATTGGAAAGAAATTTATAATGATAAAGAGATGTAGAATATATTAATTATTAATAATTTATAGTGGTGGAGGTGTTTATGATGAATAAGGTGAGAAAAATGGAAAATGGATTGAGTTAAGTGAAGATTTTTGGGATTAGTCGTAAGTAACTTTTTAAGGTGAATTTAAAAATGGGAAAAAAGTAGGGAGATGGTAAATTTGGTATGAAAATATTGATATTTGGGGAAATAAAAATGAAAATATAGTGATGTAAATAATTTAAAATAATGAATCCAATTAATTATGTGTGTCAAATTTTTAGTGGTGGTGGATCATATGATAACAAATGCGAGGGCCTTAAGATTGGGTTATGGATTGATTTAGCTAAGAGATTTTATTTTCACAAATAAGTAACTTATAAAGGTTAATATAAAAATGGTAAAAATGTTGGTAGATGGGATATTTGGTTTAGGTTGTATGATGAGAAAGAGTTTAAATAAATGTAAAATTATAATATTAAGTTTGTGATTGATTATTCAAAAATATATAAGTGGGGGAGGATAATATGATGATAATGGTGATGGAATTAAGATTGGAAAGTGGGTTGAATTGGATGATGAATTTTTTAGTTTGAAATAAGTAACTTATAATGGTGTCTATGATAATGGTAACAAAGTTGGTAGATGGAATGTTGAATATAGATAATGTGGGAGTGAATTATTCTCATAAATGTAAAATTTTAATTAATTATGCATCATTTTTTAGTGGTGGTGGATAATATAACAGCCAAGGTTATGGTATTAAGACTGGGGAATGGATTGAATTAGACAAAGAATTTTATGAATAAAAATAAATAATTTATATTGGGAAATACAAAAATGGTAAGAAGGTTGGTAGATGGGATGTTGAATATAGGTAATGTGGTAGTGATTTATTCTCATAAATGTAAAATTAATGTAATAGTAAATTTTTTTAGCGGAGGTGGATAATATGATGAAGATGGTGATGGAATTAAAATTGGAAAGTGGATTGAATTAGATAATGGATTTTATTATAATAAATAAGTAACTTATAATGGTGTATATAATAATGGTAAGAAAGTGGGTAGGTGGGATATTGAATATAGGTAATGTGGTAGTGATTTATTCTCATAAATGTAAAATTAATGTAATAGTCATTTATTTTAGCGGAGGTGGATAATATGATGATCAAGGTAATATTATGAAGACAGGGAAATGGATTGAATTAGATAAAGAATTTTATGAATAAAAATAAATAATTTATATTGGGGAATACAAAAATAGTAAAAAAGTTGGCAGATGGGATATTCAATTTAGATAATTTTGCAGTGATTAATTTTCAATAATGTATAATTATTTAAAAATAGTACTTAATTATTTTTTTGTGCAAATGTATTAGTGGAGGTGGATCATATGATGAAAATGGCGATGAAATTAAAATAGGAAAGTGGATTGAATTGGATAATAAGTTTTTTAATTTGAAATAAGTAACTTATAATGGTGTCTATGATAATGGTAAAAAAGTTGGTACATGGGATATTGCATATAGATCATACAGCAGCGATCCATTTTTATTAATGTAAAATACTTTAAAAAATAGTGCAAAATTAATTATTTGCAAATTTGAATAGAGGTGGGGGAGTATATGATGACTTTAAAATTGGGAAATGGGTAGATTTGGATGATGAATTTTATAATCTCAAATAAATAATTGAAGTAGGTGAATATAAAAATGGTAAAAAAGAGGGTAAATGGGAACAACTGAAAAGAGAATTATATAAAATTGATGAAGGATTCAAAAAAGTAACTGAAATGAACTATTGTATTTGAAATCTAATTTTAATTATTAATGTCTTTATTATTAATGATTGTAATAATCAAATATTTTATCATTTTGATTATAAATATTCTTATCTATAAATTAAAAGCATTATCCTTGAATTATTATCGAAAATAGCATTAACTTCGTTTATTTTTGAATAATAATTATTTGGAGGAAATTAACGTGATTTATATATTTATATATGAACTGAATACTTAAATAATCATTTAATTTATTTAAAGGAGATTTAATATCAGAGAAAATACCGAAAAATAAAAGATGATATTAAATATATAGTGAAAATAAATACCAAGTACTAAAAATATTATGCTAGACTCTTCTAACTATAATGAATTTAGTTTATATATTTTCTGTCGATAGATCGAAAATACAATTATTTGAATATTTCTAAGAGATGTAATAATGTTAAATCTTAGCATATATGATTCCGTGATTAATAAGCAAAACTTATGTCTTATTTTTTGGGGATTCCCAGATAACACAAAAGGGTCGCCTAAACTAATTTACGAATTAGTATAAAGAATAGGATTCTATACAGATTAAAAGAAGTCAGCAAAAATCTTATATATAAGTTGATCAAATTTGGTTGATAGATTGGCAATCTCCATAATATTAATAGACATATATATTTTTGGAATAAGAAAAACTACAGCAATTTCTTCAAAGCTTAAATCAGTTACCAATTTGACTTTTTATGTGAATTTCAATTCAATTACTTAAGTTTGGTTTGTTTAACTTGACAGAAAATATAAATTAAGTCAGGAGATTGAATATAAGAACAAATGCATGCTGTTTTCATCATTTTGACATTAATAGAAATCTTCTTCAATATAATAATCAGAACATCCATCTTCTTCATTGAAGTTTCCCTCATCAAATTATTCATTTTTTGAATTGAGCAAACTATTTTCACATTAATTAACGCTTCTTTTTAAGATGAAATTATTGCTGCATACATAATGAAATGTAATATCAAAATCATCTGTAGTGTTATTAATATCATTATTTTCATAGTCTAATGATTTAATCTTTTCACATTTAGTGGTTTCATTATTAAATATATATGAACTATCACATTATTCAATTGAATGCAAATCAATTAATCCATCTCCGAAAAAGAATAACATTTATTATCTTTTAGTTCCCATCCAAAATTAAAGAGCCGAAATTTCTAACCTATTCAAAATTAAAATCTTAAATCACAATTTAATTCACATTTATCATATCCATGTTGAATATTCGCATAAATAACAAGATAACTAAATCTCAAATTAGAATCATTGCATTATTCTTGAATAATTCCATCGCCACAAAATAGATTACAATTTTCTAGAAATTCATCTAGAATCCAACCTTCTTAGCAAATTGGTCTTATATCATCAAATTATTCTAAATAACCTTCATTCTTATAACTAAATATTATCATACAAAGTGTAATATATTTCAAATCTCTTATATAACTATTGATAGATAATTGTACTTGAATATTTAATAATAATAAGTTGATGATGATTTTAATTAATATTTCTTTATACTTATTTATTTAGTTATTTATTTATAGGACAAATCATAATTTCAATAATTATCAAAATATTAATTTAAACAATTAGTACTAATTATTTATTAACCATATTGATAATCTACTATTACAGATGAAAATCTAGTTAAGAAAACCTACTAATATATCTTAATTAGGAGCTAGGCGAGTAGTATATTTAATTTCCTAAAATGACAAACAATTACATCTTCCACAAAAAAACTCCTTATTCCATGATTGTCCATCCATCAGATGGTATTATCAATTTCTAATTTAATGAATATTAATGGAGTTTCCATAATAAGCAAAATTTTCAATAATTCTCTATACATCCAGGACATTTATTATAACATTTAATGATACTTAATCTTATTGATATTAATACTCAAATTTATCATTAAATAACGATCCAAATAGTTTGTTTGTTATGTGAATGTATTATAGAGATTGAATATAATATTAAAATTGTGAATAAACACAAAAAGAATTTGAAGATTATGTCACTAATTCATAATTTATTGATTATTTGTCTATAAAAATTAAGATGAATTATTGTTATCAATACTTTTGAAATCAAATATATTATTACTTTAGAACTTTTGCATTCACCATAACACGAGAGTGATTATAATTCTAAAATATCAATATTATAATTACCACCTCTAATGTTAGAATTTTCATCAAACTAATAAATTACAGTTTGGTGAGTTATAAACGTTTAACTGATGAGCATTATCATTATTAATTGAAAACAATTTTAAAATTAATTATATTAATAAAATGAATTTTTTGAGTACTACAAAAATAATAATAAATAACAATACTAATTAAGAATTTCATTTTATTTTTATTTCCCTTATTTTCTACTATTAATTTATACTATTACAATACAATCATAAAAGAAACAATTTTAGGAATTTAAAATATAACAAATCTACCTATTCTCAGTATTTTGAATGATTAAATTGATCTTAAAGATATAAAAATTCTAATCCTTTTTTATTTATTATTTTAGTTAATTTATTTTATTCCATATAGAAGTAATAATTTTTTTCACATTTCCATTTGTTTAAAGGCAATATATTTCCAAATTTATATATAGGATAGTTCAGATATTTAGTTAAATATCAAAATAATAAGATATTTTCATCAAATGATGACTATAATAGTTTTTAATTGAGAATTTGTTTTTTAAGTGAGAATTTATAGTTGAAAAACGAAATTAAAAGTAGAAATTATGAATCCTTAACTGTTAAAGTATTTTTTTTATTCTTAGATTTATCTGATCAAAATTGTTTGAGTTTAATTTTCAATTCTTTTAGTATTCATGTTTGATTTCAGAAAAAATGAAATATATATATTTAAATTATAAGTTATATACTTAAGTATCTAAAATTAAAAAAATAAGGTATAATTAAATTTTCCAGAAGAAAAGCAATAAAATTCAATTCAAATTTCCATTTTTATGTTAAAAAAAACAATTTAGATTTAAAATTGAAAAAAAAATTTTTAAGCTAGGCATTCAACAATTCAGTTTTTCGTTGATTAATTTAAAAGTTCTATTGAAATTTGAAACTAAACAACTAAAATCTGAAATATTAGTTTAATTCTTCATAGGCCTCATTCATATTTTGAGAATCAATTCAATGATGATTTGATTTAAGTTGAATCACATTAATGATTAAAATGTAATGATGTTATTGATTTTTAAATTTATTGAAACTTCTTTTGATTATTGAATTAGCATTACATCTTAATAATGTAAAATAATTTATTTCATAAGATGATTTATCAAATATTTATTCAAATACTACAATAGATTTTAACGTTCGATAACCTTCATGATTAGAAATGATAATTTTTGCTTAAATTAAAAAAATAATAACTTTGAGTAATTTGATTAATGGTTTCAAAACACCAAAGGAATTTCATAATTAATTAATAAATTTATAGCAACAGAAGTTGTATTTAAATTAAAAATCAAAATTTGAATTTATAATATTTTCAGAAATTTACTTTGGCTTTAAAACTGATGCTTGGAATAGAGAAATATCCTGACAAACATTAGGGTTAATATGCTGAAACTTATTTGTTTTATTTCTGTTATGTTTTAAGAATTTATTACTTAGATTCTTTAATAATCAATTGAAAACCTCTTAAATCAAAATGATTCCACCATACCTGATTAGGAAAGGCAATATTTTCATAAATATTTTTTTTAATTTAAATAAATTATTACATTGTTTTAAATCTTTAAACACATGTTTGTAATTCATTTTCATCTTTGGTATATTTATTTACCAAACATTATAACTCACTTAAGGTATTCGATCGAATTCTAGAAAAAGTTAATTTGTAATATAAGTGTTCTGATTAAATGCATGTTTTCGTTTTATCCTCGTTTATAGGAAACAAATATCATGAAGAAATGCTACCATTTAAAATTTAGATATCAGGATTAAAAGAACCATATTTATTTAAAATATTATTTATAAAAAAAAATTTTTTATTAAGGTTCAAAATAATCCTTTCATGAATTAGGACTGCAAAGTTGATAATTTTTTCTAAACAAATTACTAACCTTAACTTGATGATTATTATCAACCATAATCAGAACTAAACGTTCTATTCAAACCAAATATTAGCAACAAGACTTCTAATAATTTTAATTTTCCAAAAAGCAATCACTTTAAATTAGATGAGATTAAAATAATATCCAAATCAAAAGGGAATATATTAGAGAGTAAATTAAAAGAAATAATTAAAAAATGATTTTGAACTTAAAAAGAAACCCTCCCCTTTAAGAAAATAATTATACTACTCCTACTCCTACTACTTCATATTTATATAATAATTACTAAGCTATGGATTCAGAATATTAGAGAATATACCTTGCACTCGATAAATATTTTTATGGTTTTTGACTCCTTTATTATAGAAAGACAAGCTGAATATTGGTTACACTCATTTAACTCAAGCAACAAAACCAAGTAACGATCTGAAACTTACAAATATATGCGGTATACCTCCGAAATTCAAACTTAAAATCGATAATTATTGGTAGCAAATTCCTCCATCTCAAATAATCAAATCACAAATAAAAATACATTATCCTTATCAAATAAAGGATAAAATGTAAGAAAATAGAAATAATTAACAAAAATAATAACATAAAATATAAGAATAGGATTCGAATTAAATTAACAAATACTGCCTAAAGGATCTAAAATTAAACGATTAGCTGAGTTAAAAATAAGAAAAAGAAATTTTGCCCAATATATGGAACTAAAACGGCAAATAATAAATATATACTTCAGAAATCAATAGCCAGGAGGCCTAAATCGAAATGTGAGAATCCTAGACTGCAAATACCAATGAAATTTGGAAAATTAGTAAAAAAGACTTCTAAAACCAAAGAGGATTGAAATGTCTCTTTACCAGAATGCATCTACTTCAAGTTTTAATAATATAAATTACCAAAACACAACCAGACACTATAATTGAGAATCAGTCAATGGAACGTAAGCTCAATTAAAAATGATGCTATTGCAATATCCAAAACTAATTAACCTCACATCATCTGTCTTCAAGAAACTAGAGGGAAAAAATTTAAGAATTTCCCAGGTTACAACTACATTATAAAATTTGGTGCTAGCAATCATCAAGGTGGTATTGCAATAGGAATAATTTCTTCAATAAATTTAAGGATATAAATTAAAAATGTAAATCATTGAATTCCTTAAATTATGATTTTCTAATTATTTATTGTAAATCAGAACTTGTTAATGCTATTACCTGCAATTTAATTTCAAATCTAAAGCTATCTTCAACCAATCAAACAGGAGTTTGAATTAAGGTAAATATTTAATTTACAAGTTAAATCATTGATGCATAACTAATTCCAGAAGACATTTAAAATTATCAATAAATTTTCAAAAACATAATAATTGAAATGAGCATATTAAGCAATTTTGTAAAATTTAAATAGTTGACAAACATTAAAAAATAAAAAAAAAAATTTGATTATATTTTAAAGAAAATAGACTTTTTCAATATTAACAAGCAAAACAGATGATCAAAAATAAATGATACATCATATTTTATAAAAAATAAAATGAAGTAATTAATTATAAATTAAATAATTGACAATAAAACAGTTATTCCACATAATTAAAGAATTAGGGTCAGTGAATATTGATTTGATTTATCAAAAGTCCATTTTCCCACAATTTTGTACAACTCCAAATCTGTACAAAGTCTTATCTTCATCTTTACAAAAATATATAAGATACACTTTTGTATTTTGGGTATTAAACTGAAAAAAATGAGTAGAGAAATTCAATTAATAAAAAAAAAAATGAATGGCCCTAATGAATAATCAGAAGAATTGTCTCAAATTTTCGTTTAGGTTAAAGAGATTGATACAAAAATATTCAATCTTATAAAAGAAATGTTTGGAAATGAGAAAAATTAAGATTCTATCCGATATCTTTCAGATATTAAAGATCAAAAATATCACGAAATAACCATATTACAAAGAGAGAAACAAACCCTACCTGATAATGAATAGAGTCTAGATGTTTTTAGAAATAACATTAACCAAATTATTATTGCTTTGAAAAAAATAAAAAATCACGACTTTAATAAAAATGATTATTCTGCTGAAGACAACATGTAAGCTAGACAAGATCTAATTAATACAATAAAGGATGAAAGGTAGATCATAGAATTTTTGACACTTTTAGTTCACCTCACATCCATAGATAACACTCTAATATAATGTGGATCGAATTCATTAAATTTATTAGTCTAAATGAGGGCTGATCTTAATAAAAAAAATTTTGAAAATATTAAGATCTAAAATACTTCTTTGGTGGGAGCTAATTTTGTTCAAAGTAACTTGAGCGGATCTGAATTTAAAAATGTTAATATAAGTGGTATGAATTTGAATAGAGCAATATTATAGAATTGTAAATGGAATAACTTAAGAATCAATGAATTGAATAAAATTAATGGTCATAAAAGGAAAGTCAACTCAGTTCATTTCTCTCCTGACGGAAATACATTAGCTTCTGGAAGTGATGATAACTCTATCATTCTATGGGATGTTAAAACAGGGGAATAAAAAGCCAAATTAGGTGGTCACAATAAGCCTGTCAACTCAGTCAGTTTCTCTCCTGATGGTAATAAATTAGCATCTTGTAGTGGAAAGCCATATAAAATCGGCGATAATTCAATACGTCTTTGGGATATTAAGACGAAGAAATAAATAGCGAAATTTGATGGTCATTAATATGCTGTTTCATCAGTCCATTTTTCTCCTGATGGTAATACGCTAGCATCTGGTAGTTATGATAAATATATCCGTCTATGGGCTGTCAGAACAGGACAATAAATAATTTAATTAGATGGTCATTCTAGTGCAATAATGTCAGTATGTTTCTCTCCTGATGGTAATACATTAGTGTCTGGTAGTAGTGATTTCAATATTCGTCTATGGGATGTGAAATCAGGATAATAAAAAGCCAAATTAGATGGTCATTCTAGTGCAATAATGTCAGTCTGTTTCTCTCCTGATGGAATTACATTAGCCTCTGGTAGTGGTGATAACTCTATCCGTCTATGGGACGTGAAATCAGGATAATAAAAAGCCAAATTAGATGGTCATTCTAGTGCAATAATGTCAGTCTGTTTCTCTCCTGATGGAAAAATATTAGCTTCTAGTAGTAATGATCGCTCTATCTGCCTATGGGACGTCAAAACAGGATAATAGAAAGCCAGATTAAATGGTCATACTAATTCTGTCTATTCCGTATGTATCTCTCATGATGGAAATACATTAGCTTCTGGTAGTTATGATAAATCCATCCGTCTATGGGATTTCAAAACAGGATAAAAAAAACCAGAATCGGATGGTCATACTAGTGCTGTCTTATCAGTCTTTTTCTCGCCTAATGGAAATACATTGGCCTCTTGTAGTTACGATTAGTCTATCCGATTATGGAATTCCAAAACAGGTTAGTAAAAAGCCAAATTAGAAGGTCATGAGGATTGGGTAATGTCAGTCTGTTTCTCTCCTAATGGAAATACATTAGCATCTGGTAGTCGTGATCGCTCTATCCGTCTATGGGATGTCAATACCGAATAGTAAAAAGCGAAATTAGATGGTCATACTGATTCTGTCTGCTCAGTCTGTTTCTCTCCTGATGGAAATACACTAGCATCTGGTAGTGATGATAACTCTATCCGTCTATGGGATGTCAAAACGGGATAATAAAAAGCCTAATTAAATGGTCATAGTAGTTATGTCTGGTCAGTCTGTTTCTCTCCTGATGGAAATACATTAGCTTCTGGTAGTTTTGATTAGTCTATCCGTCTATGGGATGCCATAAGAGGATAACATAAAGCCTAATTAGATGGCCATGAAAATTGGGTAAAGTCAGTCTGTTTCTCTCCTGAAGGAAATACATTAGCAACTGGTAGTTATGATAACTCTATCCGCCTATGGGATGTCAAAACGGGATAATAAAAAGCCTAATTAGATGGTCATAGTAGTTCTGTCTGGTCAGTCTGTTTCTCTCCTGATGGAAATACATTAGCTTCTGGTAGTGATGATAACTCTATCCGTCTATGGGATGTCAAAACGGGATAATAAAAAGCATAATTAAATGGTCATAGTAGTTCTGTCTGGTCAATCTGTTTCTCTCCTGATGGAAATACATTAGCTTCTGGTAGTTATGATAACTCTATCCGCTTATGGGATGTAAAAGCAGGATAAGAAGTTAAATCATTCGATTAGAGTTCCAAAAATGTTTTAAGATAATATAAGAGCCCGCTCCTATAAAATAATTCTATTTCAGATGACAGTATTTATCTTTTTTAATATTTTTAGTCTCAAATTATATTACTGCTCTTCTTATATCCTAATCCGCTATATTTTAAGTACAGGGAGCTTTAGTCCTACAAGGAGAATTTATCAATTATTAAGGGTTTGATTTAAAGTCCCTATTAAAATCAAAAGAAAGTTTTCTTTTAGAAAACTAATTAGATACAAAATAAAAAAAAACTTGAAATTGATTTTATAAAGAAACATCATAAATGTCAAATATTTTTTAACTTTAGCATTTTTCTTTTTCTTCTAAATTTAGCAAATCTTCTCTACCTAAATATTATTTTTTTTCTAAGATAATCTAAAATTGTTAGTCATGTTCTTTACAAAATTATTGTTAAAGTCTAATTTAGGGAATAATTATTCAGATGTATAAAAAATTTTATCAATTAATATTTATAAAAGATGTAAATAAATTTATGGATTTAGTGCGCCTATTGAGGCTTTTTCTTATATATTATCTAAGGTTTAATTAAATTATTATTAAAATTTTAAAATACATGTTCGGAATGAAAATTTAAATTTAACATTAATTACAATTTTGATTTTTTTGTTAGTAAATAATAACAACAAGACAATTACAATTATTTATTTGATGACAAAACAATGGCTCACATATTTAAAAATTTTTAATTAATTTTATTTCTATTAAAGAATTGGGATCAATTTAATTAGATATTATCACTATTCTTCTGGTTTATAAATATAAATAATTTATAAACATACTTATCATATTATTTAATAAACTTCTGGATAAAATGATCTGAAGAAATAAAAAGATTAAAGTATGTGTATAAGTATAATATGCTTTATTAATAGAGCCCAATCACAAGGAAAAATATGCTAATTCCCTAATTGTCATGATTTTACTTTTGGAAGTAAATCAAATCTGATTGATTAAAAAATAATATATATATTTCTACCAACTATGATATTAATTATTATTATTTACAGTAAATGACTTAAAAAAAGCCTAATATTAAAGTTAACTTTTATAAATGTAATTAGAAAAATAATAGTTCAATATTATTCTTTTGAATATATTATTCGATTATTTTCTAAAAATTTCATTTATTTATTTTA